ACGTGGCCATCTTCTTTTCAGACACCTCGGAGGGTTATCAGGAATTGGAACAGGAAGCAAGGTTAGAAAGAAGAGGTTTGGGATGGTTATGAAGTTTATTATGGAAGGACAGATATCTGGATTGGGCCAAATCTGATACATAAGGAACATTAAGGTCATTATGGATGATTTTATTTGTAACAAAGTAAGGAGCATTGAGGATTTTACGAAGGATTTTGGATTGTAAGGATTGTATGCGAGAGGAATTTGAAGGTTTGGTGGAGCCTCATAGCTCAACTCCGTAAGTCCAAATAGGCTTTATTATAGTCATGTAAATGAGTCTTTTATAATTAATTGGGAGGTTAGAGCGTTTGTCTAGTAAGTGTTGAAGTAGTCGGAAACGTCGAGCTGTTTCTTATCGTTTCAGTCTGGTATGAGGATTCCAAGTTAGACGTTTGTCCAGATGGAGTCCTAGGTAACGGATTTGTTCAACAGGAATAAGTGAGATGTTGTTAAAGGATACTGAAGGACAGGAAGTCATTGGTTTAAAATTCAAATCTAAAAAAATGAATCTAATCTAAGATAATTAATCTAAATCAATCCAATTTGAGAGTTGTGCCGTTTACATTAGACAATTAAACTTAAGGGGAATACCAGCAAATAAACCTGCGGCTTTGGGAAATGTTGAAAAAATCGGAGGAAAAATCATATGTTTCCTCTCCGAAGAAGGAATCTTAAATCTTAAATGAAATTGCCGCATCAGGTTGCGGGAAATGGCCCTTGGGGATTTAGCGGGACAGCTGGGACCAGGAAGACCTCGGCGGTATCGAGCGGTGCAGCGAGGTCGACGCCCGCCCGGGGTCAAAGACCCGCCCTTGTCTGCACTAACCATATCCCCAACATCGGGAGGTGGCTTGGTCAGTGATCATCGGAGGATGCTGTTTGCTACTAGATAATACTAACAAGGGGACGTGGGGACACCGATTTCATTGAAATGATTTTAGTGATACTAGGTCGAAAAATAATAGATCCATGTCAGAGGGTTCTTGCCTATGAAAGAAATTCGATATTTTAGCAAGGTGTTTGGAATTTTAGGTTATTATATACCAATAGATTTATTCTTTTGAGCAAAATAAAAAAAAAAAAATTATCCCATTTCGTGTAGAAACTAAGTCCTGAGTTCCTAATAATTTTCGTGTAATTCGATGTAGTCGGTTTGTAACTATCACAATTTTTGTCAATGGCGATAGAATTTTGAACCTTGCGCACGTTCAACCATATCCTCACATAAGATGAATAATCTTTCAAAATTTATATTTAAATTATTATTTATAGAATAATTTTTAATAATGAAATTAAATGTAGAATATCCATATCTTCATAATTTAGATACTGGAATTTCCTAGGTTTTTCCCCATTACCCAAACAAGTCAGCTTCCCCTATATCTGTCCTTATCCATGGTTTTACAGTTCTAAGGGAAACTCCTAGTTGAACACATCTGTAAGTCTCTAATTTTATTCTTCCATTTTATTTACTTATTTATTTAATTTTTGGTTTTCTCTCTCCACATTTCTTACTATTATTTCATATTATATCCTTTCTTTCCTTTTCTTTCAATCTCTCCTGTAGATTTGTAGAAGTATATTCACATTTGCATTTATTTTATATTACACTATACCAATTGTTAGCATCTATTCAGTTTAGGATCTTCTTACTTAGCTTACTTTGTTCATATTTTAATGTACTTACTGTTTATAATTTTAATAAGCTTATTCACATTGTTTATAAATTTTGTCTAAATATCAGGTGACTGCCACAATTCTCTATCTTTTTGTATCTTGTCCGTTCTAGCCCTGAAGAAGACCTGCAAAGTCGGGTCGAATCGTCAGCTTTCAATAAAATACTTTTAATAATATTTAGCCTATTTATGACCGCAACCCCGGACTATCTCCTTCCTTTAAAAGTAGAATAATATCTCCCCCTTCAATATTTATTTTTTTGGAACGAAATTGATTTCAATGAAAAATTTAAATGTTTTTCTAATTTTATTATTCCCTTACCCATCATCCAAATCCCTTTGCACAATCTCTATCCAGCACCACCCATCCATGTAATCCCCCAAGGAGGTTAAAACGGCAGTGGCCCCGCGACCTTTTATAGTTTGTAAATATTGGAGTTCTGGCAATGGCCAGATTCTCCACTCACGACATGAGTGTATGTGGCTTAAGCACTCTTGCTCAATCTCCACTGGGTTTAGCCCCAGTGATGCGGTTGAGAGAGAAGTGCTGGGATCTCCTGGAGCCATGCTTTTCCCTCCACACTTGGAGAGACAAGTCTGGTTTGGAGTTCCCTCACCAAATTGTAAATATTGTATATAGGTATGTATGTGTTCTTTTTATTAATTTATTTTTAGGTTATTTTATTCTTATTTATTGTATATATGTTATTTTTCTGTATAATTTATTTTATTTACTGTACATGGAGTGTGAATGTGATCTGTGAACACTATTATAAATGTCGTTGAGACAGATTGTAATATTTTTCAATAAAAAAAAAAAAAAAAAAAAAAAAAAAAAAAAATATATATATATATATATATATATATATATATATATATATATATATATATATATATATATATATATATATATATTATTCAATTTTCCTTAACAGACTCAATAGTTGGCAGTACTTCAGTACTTTTCATTTTCATGGACTAATACATAAAAAAAAAGAAAATTTTTCAAAACTTGGTTCTTCGTGTTGGTTAAAAGGTTTTTGAATCAAATCCTAATAAACTATTACAGCTTTCAGCCTATGAAGTGAAACCTTGTCAAGAAACTCGTATTAAAAAATACAAAATGTGCAATTATCGTTCATTATTTTCAATAATGTATCATCGTATTTACAAAAAAAAAAACAGTTAAATAACCTCAAAATTCGACGTTTCGCATTTGAAGATATGTAGAATCCGAAAATCCAACATTTTTGTCTGTCAATGTCCTCGGCTCATTTTCGAGACTCCAGGGCCAATTGTTATATTAGTTGAAATCAAAGTTGATCTTCCCAACTCGACATTACCATCCGCCCTTTCGTTTCAAAATGGTGGTCGAGAAACGTGGGTCGCTATAGACTGTTCCGCCGAAATTACTGTAGGGAATTTAATAACCTTTCCCTTTAAAGCATTTTAAATTTATTTATATGAAATGCTTTCACGATAAGAAGCTGGCAAAAAAGTTACGGAGAATTCAGAATTTTATTGGTAAATTACTCAAAATATACATATCCACTTATGATAAGACTTTTTAACTTTTTGAATATGTTTTAATGAAACTTTCATTGTTTTTCTTTCATAACTCGAAAACATTATACCTATGAGAACGGTTGAGATTGTGATTTAAAAAAAAAATCTTTTTTTTAACAAAAATCAGTGAATTGTAATGAAAGACAGTGTTTTTTAATTAAATTTTCCATGGCGTAATGTGGCATTGGCTTTAATGTATTGTAAAGTTAATCTTGTTATTTATTTGAGCTTTAATATATTTATGTCTATAAAACATATAAATGTTCCTATTCTGTAGCGTTATCCTAAGCTATAATATAATGTGTTTAATAAATAGCAATAAGCATTTCAAGAAAAAGAGGATAACATTCGCTTTTTGGGGACTTGCCACATGTTAATTGAGTTAAGAGAGAAATGTTTTGGGCAGCGGACCTGTTCTCTGGAAGAATTACTTGGTTTCTTAAAGGGTTCTAACTGGAAAGCCTTAAGCAATTATGTACAGCAGGCCACATTGCAAAGATCTCAACTAGTCAGAAAGCAAACTATTGATAAAATATCGAGTTTATTTATTGTAAAGTTTGTTTTATTGTTATATTGTATTTGATGATTATTATTATTATTGTTGAACTTAAATTTCTTATTTGTTGGATTTGTGATGTATTAATGTTTGGTTTTTGAAAACTCTGTCTAAACAAATGAGGGAGTGAAAAAGAAAATTGCTAGAATGGATGTATAAAAATATAATAATACTGTAGATATATAATTGCTCATTTATTTTAGTTATAGATGTGATGAATATTTATTATTGATTACACACAGACCCCGACAGACGGAATTTTCCATTGTCTATGTGTTGTTGCTTATATATATATATATATATATATATATATATATATATATATATTTGGTATAATTTTTTAAAAAGTTTAATAAACATGTTTTCATTCATTCATTCAAATAGCAATAACCTAACAGGTAACAGACTTGCGAAACTCTTGTACAAGACCAAGACTTGTCATTGCGGCAACACTAATTCGCATCAGTTTTTCTTTTTTTCTTTTTTTTTTTCATATTCACGTAATTAAAATGAACATAAAAGAACGACATATTTATTCGCCCCCCCAAAAAAAATAAATATTTATGTTTTATATTAGTTTAGATTTGATCATGTTACTTTACTTTTACTAGTGGTATCCTCTCTAAATTTCGTTTAATCATTAAATTTTTTTCGTGATAATAAACTCACAGCCACACAATTATTAATTCTGAAGAATTAAAAAAAAAATATTAGAGGAATTGAAAAATAGTGGACAATGACATCGATAGGACTACATTTTTGGAAATCTGAAAAATTTGAACTTGGTAGACAATTAAAAAAGTAAAAAATGAGATCTCGAAATTTCTTTATCTAATAATTAGAAGTTTCTTAAAGCAGTACTTTCTAACAAAGTAATGAAATTCAAATCCTTCGTGGGTTGTAGTGATATAGGTGTTTTTTTTAATTATTGGAAGGAAATTTTGAAATATTAATTATTCGCTTTGGAATAATGATTTATAAACATTAATACCTGGCTTTGATATTGCCTAAACTAGATTACTATATTTATAAACAGATAATCACGTGTAGAGGATTTTACACACGTGCAGCGGACTATCTTTTAAATAGTTTATGATCCAAAATAGACATAAAAAAAATAGTTAAAAATTTAATATAAATGCGAATATTGAAATGCTTACCTTTGACATTGTGGAGTCCACGATGGGCGGCTTCTTCGGAACGAAGGTGCTGTACAAGTCCTGGTCCTGATTGAAGGCTGCCCTGCAAAGAGAATGGCCTGGCGTTATCTTTCAGAAGAGAAGATAGGATAGTTTAGTAGTGTACACAATAGATAATTATAGTTTCCAATAACTAGATAGTCTAGCTGTTGGGTAACGGAACATTCCTCAGATCTGGGAGACTGGAGAGTGTTTACATCGCCAAATAATTACATCCAGATCCGGGGGTCAAGTGACCACGTGTCTCTGGATCTAATATCGAGAATAATCCATTAATGCGGAAAGTTTTCTTTACAAATAATACTTTACGAATTGTAGTGATATAGGGGGCGGGGAAGCCTAGCGAGCTAACGGGTGTGCAGAGCATTCGTTACCCGGCAACATAATAAACCAATTTTTTTGGTTTATTATTTTCAATAATCAACCATTGTGATCGACCAAAATATTCAAAAACTTAACCCTCTTCTCAAAATTTGAGGTTTCACGTTTCAGGACGCATATAATACGAAAAACGAATAAATTTTTTTTTGTCCGTCCGCCGTCCGTTCATTTTCTCCGAAACAACTTGACCGATTTTTTTCAAATTTTAATATAAAATCAGAGGTCATCCGAGGATGATCCTCCTTCATCGACATTACTCGCCGCCTTTAACTTTCAAAATGGCGGCCGAAAAACCTTCGTTTCTATAGACTGTAGCTCTTAAACGAATGTACAGATTTCAATGAAACTTCGCTAAAGTCATTTTCTCGACGCTCTTTAAATTTATCTATACAACATACTTCAACGAAAAGAAGCTGGAAAAAAAGTTACGAGGGATGGTAAAATTAAATTCCGAAAAGTTTTTACTTTTTTGTTGATATTGTATATAGTTTTTTTTAAAGTTTACGAAATTTCCTAAAAAAAAAAAAAAAAATCGGACAATTAGGAGCAAAGATATGGTCTCCGGTTTTTTTAAATATGTTCTACTCCAAATGTAATATCTTTGGTTTGGTTTTTAAATTTCGAATATGTTACTGAACTAATGCTATTTTTTTTTTATCATGTTACTAATGATTAAAGAAAAATAGTTTAGTCCAATAATTGGAACCACCTTTTGTTTTTTATTCTTTGTAACTCGGAAGGTAATGTTACTTTAGATGTATAATTGTTTGGAAATAATAAGCCATTGTGAAATAATGTACAGCGTTTTTTAATTTGTAATCGCCTCTACTCTAGAGGGTCATTGGAAATTAGTTTATAATACTCTATTGCAATATTGGGTTTCTATTAAGTATCGGAATTTAGTGGTGACTCCAGCTTCGTTGTCACTTAACATCTCCTTCATTGCTTGGGGGAGGAATGTTCATGATTTCATCCTAGATTTAATGGGCTATTATTCAAAATTTTAGTTTAACGCGAAGCCATGTTAGCGAAGCAAAAAAGAAAAAAAATAGTGGCGAAAACGAGATGATAACGAGTTTCATTGAAGTTAGCGATTTAAACATTTAAGATAAGCTTTCAATCAATTACAAACGACTCATATATATGACAATAATAACACCTATTTGGACTTCCAATATATATCCAATCCTTACAATCCAAAATCCTTCGTATAATTCTCAACGCTCCTTACTTTGTCACAAATGAAATCCTCCATAAAGACCTTAATGTTCCACATGTTTCCGATTTGGCCCAATCCAGATACCTATCCTTCCATAACGATCTCCAGGACCATCCGAATCCTTTCCTTTCAAACCTTGCTTCCTCCCCGATCCCTGATAACCCTCCGATGCGTCTGAAAACAAGATGGCCTCGGCACCTTCTAATATAGAACTTTAATTTGAGTTCTACCAATGGGTAGTTTATCTTTATGTTGTACATGTCATGTTACCAATGTCACATTTACTTATTGTATTTTCTATGCAATACAGTTGTAAATTTCATTAAAATTAAAATTATAAAAAAAATATTCAATAAACTAAAAATGAACCTACATAGTGTAAGCAAGGGAATTGTTCATTCTAGTATATTATTCAAAATTGTATCTTAACGCAACGCCGTATTAGCGAGGCGAAAAGGAATTAATAGTGTCGAAAACCAAATGATCACGAGTTTTATGGAAGATATGAATAAAATATCTCTTAAACTAAAAATCAGACCTGCATACTGTAAGCGAGTAATGTTCGAAATTTCACTCTCTTCATAATGAGCTATTAATAATAATTAAATTTAATATAATTAATCTCGCCTTGTTAATGTTTTCATTACTATCGTATGGTCTAAAGCACACACCTTAGTTTTTTTTTCTAACCAGGCTGAGGTGCCTCTTACTATATTTAGCTATTTAGAATTCACAACACTTTGTTTATTCTGCCAATACACCTGTTTAAAACCCTACCTCGTTAAACGTCGCCATAATTTGTGACATTTATCATTATGTAGTGAAGTAAATCTTTAACTAAATATCTTATGAAAAGACTGAAGAGTTCCAAATATAATTTTATTTATATTGTCTTGAGAGCCTTTCAAAGACAATAATCAAAACAGTAAGCAAGAGCAGCCTAAATTGCAATGGCAAGTATTTTGTTATCTTTAGATTTCGTAACATCTTTCGGGATGTCAGTAATCGAGAGAGAGAAAAAAAAGACACTTTAGTAATAGCTATAAGTTGGCTTCAGGAACACTAATAATTTATTGATATCGATATGGATAATAAGAAGACTGAAAAAAAAATTATGAATTATGAGCATTTATAAAATAACTTTTTTACATTATTTTATGTTGTACAGTTTAAAATTAAGTTACATGAAGTATTCTCTTAATATCAATCAGAATATACTTACTTAACATGATTGAACAGCGTGAGGGGGAGAATATACATATTTCAAGATCAACAATTTTTCTTTTCTGGCTTCTCGTTGTATATATTTCTAGCTTAAGCGCCTACTCTTAATTCAGAAAAGTATTTCATTATACCGCAAATGTTGTATTATCAGTTTACTACTGACTCTTTATTCAGCCTTATCTACAATCCCCAGCTATGCCACTAGATTACGGCGTTTTTAAGTAGAAACTCTTACATTCAGTATGCTTTATCTTTTTGAAAAAAAAAAATATATCTTCCTTATTACTCATGGCTTTAACCGCGTTAAATTTGTTTATACGTGCTTATCCTCACAACTAATGACTACAAGGCCAAGTTTAGAAACTGTGTAACTTCCGACGTTTTAGTAATAAGACAAAAAAGCATCAATCACTAAAAAAAAAAAAACATTGAAAGAAACTTCCAGAGCATTTATATCCATTTTTTTTTTTTAGTCAGTTATTGAAAATATGATTTACTTTTAAAACAAGGCAATAAAAGTGATTGAACTGAGCTCTGCCAATGATTGGTTCAATAGTTTTTTGTTTAGTGGTAAATAAACGAAAAGTGGGGTTTCTTTTTCGTATATATACATTCACAATTTTTTTTTCAGTTTGACATTCTTCGTGTTTTTTTAAAAGTGAATTTAATTGATTAATTATCAGTTCTTTAATTTTTTTATATTAAAACTATGCATTATAAGGACTTGCACTACATTCTAAGTAAATACTAGTTAAAAAGCATTTAAAACTTTCTTTCTACCAGTAGGTTGAAGAAGTCCAGTTTAGCGCTTTAAAACCTCCTAAAGACAACACGGATTATCATGCAAAAAATGTGTTAAATCAGAAGATTTCACGAAAGAATAACGGACTATCATTTTATATGGCAGTAGAAAATGAATATATATTAGGGTGCCCCATAAGTTCTTTCTTTTATTTGTTTTTAAGGTTAATTCACTGTGTTATATATGAACCGTTCTACTCTATTATCTTTTTCCATCTCTCATGAAGCCCTTTATACCCTTTACCCGAAATTGTTGAGACTTAAGAAATATTCATGTAGATCCCATGATCAACGAAACGTGCTGCACCGTCTGCTAGAAACTCTTACAGTTTGATTGGGACTTTCTACCACAACCTCCGTACTCCCTCGACCTTGCCGATATCCGAATATTACTTGTTTCTTTCGTTAAAAAAATCTTTCTATGATAAATGTCACCAATTCGAAAGCGAAATAAAAACGCTTCTTCATGAATACTTTGCATGTAAGTCTCAAGAATTTCGGAAAATGGATAAAGAGACTTCATGAAAGATGAAAGAAGGTAATAGAGTAGATCTGTTCATATATAGCACAGTAAATCAACCATAAACAACAAAAAAAGAAAACGGAAAGAACTTATAGGACACTCTAATATATACGTGTGTGTGTTTTCTTGACTTATTGCTATCATAACATGACTTTAAAATAATCCATGTTAATGATCGATAAGGCTGTATCGTTGATTAAACCCATCATTGATTTAATAAGTAATCCCTGCAGATTACAAGGTGTTATCTATGATCGTTGCTTCATTAATATAATAAAAGTGACACATAATTTTTTCTAGCCGTGTATTACGGAAATTTACTTATGTTTTTATAGGCTTAATTTAATTTATAATAAAAGCACCAATAGTTATTCATGAATTTAATCGATTGAAACGAATTCTGAAAAGGAATTCACGAATAATAGTTTTAGCGTGAAATCATTAAACAAAATCTAATAGTATTTTTTGTTTTAAGCCTAATATCCAAGATCTGGAAAAATCTGTTGAAAACTCTGATTTCCTTATAGCATGTACAAACAAAAACCCATGAAGATCTTGGTTTCAGTTAGTGTTGCCCAAATGCGAGACAGAGACGAGTCTTGGTCTTGCAAACTCAGTCTTGGTAATGGTCTTGGTCTTGCGCATGAATCTCGCAACGGTCTTGCAGTTACTTATTAGCTTATAACTATAGAGATATTACTGTAATTTTTGAGATAGGAGAAACCTAACTAAGCCCGAATGAAAAATTAGAGGAGTTAAATGCAAAATTATATTGGTTAAACCAACTATTTACATATAGTAACTAAGATTGCCAAGTATTAGTAACTATTTTGCCTCAACTTTTTATTCAAAAAATCAATTTTTTATACCAGTCCTGGTCTTGGTTGTGCAACAG